TTTTTTTTAAAATATATTTGGAATTATTTTAAAAGCGCATTTTTATTATAAATTGACAAATAATATTCTGTATATTTTAGACATTTATCAAATTATTATTTAAAATTATCACTAACCATATTAATCATTAAAAATTAATAATGACTATATTATATTGTTATTTAATTCAAGTAACTTATAAATAAAAATTTTACTTGTCAAATTCTAGGATCACTTATTTTAATAAATTATACCTATAATTATAATAATATTTATGTGTTTTGTATGTTTCTTGTTCAAATATAATTACATAAAGATACATTAAATTAACAACTTTTAACATTATAAAAAAAATCAAGACAACATCTAGCCATAGGTCTAGCATGACATATTTTTTATTATTAAGACATTAACATCCATCAATTCTAAAACATATCCAACATATTAAGTAACTCAAAATCAAATTCATGATCAATGCTCAAAAGTAAAATATGTAAATTGTCCCAAAATTAATCTTGCTTCAAATATAAAAACATAGGTTCAAATTCATAAGTTCATCATGTCTAAAAAAAAAAATAATGTCAAACTCCATGAATATTACTATCTAATGAAGATCCTCCTTGTAGTGTTGGCATGTCGTGTCCACTCCCTTCATCCTATAAAATACAAATTGTTTAATGTTATCCTTATTAATAAAATATGCATAAAATATTAAACTTCAATTAAGTAGTAATATAATTTAATTTAGTGCAAAATATAAAACACTAACAGAAGTGCCATTTTCAACGAAAGGCAAAAGTTACCCTAGGATGATCAATGAAGGTTGAGCCAAACTCATAGTGAGCAGTGGGAATCTTAATGTGATAGACATGAGAGTATCACATAGAATGATTAAACATAATAAACAAGAAAAGGTTGAGAATTAGGCAAATACGCAACTAATTGATAATGTTAGTTCCTGTTTGAGTTGTTAAAATTTTAACACACGGATATTGTCTAATAAAATAATAGCATTTTAAGTTCTTAAAATCAATAAGAAAAAATTGTATGCAGTTTGAAAAAAAAACAAAAAACTGCAGAGGATGTTAATCCTGTTTGAATACTATATTGTGCTGATTATATTCTAGTGTGTCCTATTCTGTTCTACAATACCTAAATTGAGTAGCATTTTAGATAATAAAATAGTGAAAACGATTCTAGTAACAACAAAGAATTAGTACCTTCCCCTGTACCATTGTGGTTATTCTGAACTTGTGTGTTTTCCGAAGGAAAACTTAACGATCGAGCAAGACGCTTGACACAATTCAATCGCAAGGGTTTCGATGTGGTACCTGTAATAAAACAAAATCATCATATCAATACAGGAATTTAAACTAGTATCTTTGTGAGATCCTATTCTCACCGACGGTACCAACCTTGGTTTGCTTTCTGTACATTAACATAAATCAAAAGATAGCGTACTATTACTTGATAAATTTAGAGATAAGATGCAATATTAAAGGAAGCAGAATAAACACGCAATACACAATGTCAATTCAATTTGACGTCAGCTTCTTCATCAGATACACAAATCTCTTGCAGACAGACTCACAGGCAACTAAAACTAGAAGTCTAGAACAAGATCAAGCATGCAAGCAAATAAGTCATATTCTTATTTGTTTATTTCTCTCTTTATACAAATACCCTAATAATCTCTAAACTCCTGAATTAAACTCTAGCATTATTAAGCGGGGCGGGTATGGGGGCGGGGTGGGTATTAATATCCTCATCCCCGCCCCCGCCCTCGATTTTATCAATCGGGGAAAACCCGAACCCGAACTCGATAAACACGAGTTTTCCCCGTCTAAACCGGGGTGGGTTCGGGCGGGTACCCATGGGAACGGGTTAGATTGTCATGCCTAGTTTTGACAATTTATCAAATATAATAATTATAAAAAATTGTTTACTTTGAAAAAAATCACTTTTTAAATTTTTATTTTAAAAGATTTCATTAAATATATATAACCTAAACGAACTTGATAAACATTAAATTAGTTTAATTCATATTATACGACAAAAATTCTAAAATTAAAACCAATTAAATTTAAATTAATCCAACCTTTCAACACCCCTAACATTATCATTTGAACCTTAATTTAAGCGGAGTTAAACGTGAATAAATACTTGTAGAATTTGAATTACATTGGTGGTGGAAATCAATCCAGCGGCTCTAATCACATAAATGATGGATAAAAATGAAATGAAAATTTTGTTCAATTAATATCTGATTATGAGGTCCCTCAATTATCTTTCATCTCGTCAACTCCCAACATATGTTCATGGGGCCTACTCTTATGTTGCCTCTCTGTCTCCCAATTTTATATATATTCTAATTTTAAACGGATAATGCTAATCCAGATAATCTTAAAAGAATAAACGTATAAGGCTACTATAGTATTTACAATTTACATTTTTAAATTATACACAACTATTTATTCTATCGCTTCCTTTTATTCAAATTAAAAACGATTAAGTATATCCGCCGCCTTCTCCTTCGTCTGACGCAACCCCACAATATAAAATTGCACTTTGCCTATTTCACTTTTTTCATTTTCTTTTTCTTTTTAAGTTAAGGATTGGAGACATTTTCAACAACATTAACAGAAATGTTTTATTTCAATAACTATAAAAAAAATTATCAACATATTCATTGTACTGCATTATTTACCAATATACTTATTGACTCTTTTTTTCCATTAAAATCAACTTCTCTTTGCATCCACTTGTTTTCTTCCGTTAAAAACCGCTAGGAAAGTCAGCTTTATCTCCAAAGACTTTTTCATATTTATAAATAATAATTCTTGACAGTTTTTCACCGCAAAAAATATTTGTTTCACGGATATATTTCGTATCACAAATCTAAAGATTAATCTGTTTGTAGTAATGTAAATGTAGTTGGTATAAAAGATTTTTACACACGCTTAAAATTAAACATGCAATCTTTTGATAGAAGGGATTTCTTTTTCATTTTTATTTTTATTTTAAGATAAACTTTTATAAACTTATTTCATTTCATAATTTATATTTTATATCGAATTTCAATAATTTAACGGTTAAATTAAAAAAATTTATACATAAATTAAGTTTATAAATTTTAAAAATTTTAAAAATTATTTAATATTTTAACAGAGAATTAAAACGACTTAAATATATAACAAAATAAAAAAGTTACATAATAACAGAACTAAATTAATTCTAGCCAGCTCTAATTAACTAGCTACATATATATAAGGTTGGTGAAGGTTATTTTCTTTCCCACCTTTTTATTCATATATGAATTAATTTTTCTAATATATTACTTTCACTTCCTTGAAAATTGTTTTTATTAATTACAGTTATTTTCTTTATATATTTGGAACTGATATTCTATAACTCTAATCTAGTTTAGGAAGCTTTTATAACAAAAGAAAAATACCATGAACTATCTTTTCCATCAAATCCCATTCTATATTTTTCTATCTTCTTAAGGCAATATTTGATTAAAAAAGCCAACATTCCATGTTACCTTTCCATTCGTGTAGAGGCTAATAGTGTTATAACAAAATAATAAGCTTTGTATGAAAAGTGTTTGGAAATTCTAAAACAACATTTAAAAAAAAGAACAAGTTCCTTTTAGAAAAATGTAAAGTAAATATAATGTAGAAACATCTACATTGGTAGACTTTACTATAGTTGTTCGCGCACTAAATGTTGAGGAAAAGGTTTTTAAATGGAGAAGTGGGGTAGCATATGTAAGACCCTGAACTCTAAAAGGAGAAAGATGACAGAAGAAGACTATGAAGCTATGGGTAGAGGACCAAGTGGGGCTTTCTTCTCAGTCAATCAACAATAAGAAGCATCTGTGTGCAGCATCTGCCTACCCCATTGAAAAGGATTTCACTCCCACTTTGCATTTTGAAACTCTCACATTTTAGCTTACCTTGCCTTTTTGACCTACATTTTCTCATTCTTGCGCATGGTCATGAACAGTGGCACACAAACATAGGCACGCATTGATACAGGAATTAAGCTAGTTAACTTCCGTACATTATTTTATTTTATTTTTTATAAAAATTAATTTACAGGAATAATATTGCAGAGCTTATCAATATAGGTTTCACAACTAAAATAAACATTTATATAAAAGTATTTTCAAATTATATATTTTCTCCAACAAAATCATCAGATCAATAGAGGAATTTAAACTGGTATATATCTTTGTGAGATCCTATTCTCACCGACGATACCAACCTTGGTTTGCTTTCTGTACATTAACATAAATCAACAGATAGCGTACTATTACTTGATAAATTTAGAGATAAGATGCAATATTAAAGGAAGCAGAATAAACACGCAATACACAATGTCAATTCAATTTGACGTCAGCTTCTTCATCAGATACACAAATCTCTTGCAGACAGACTCACAGGCAACTAAAACTAGAAGTCTAGAACAAGATCAAGCATGCAAGCAAATAAGTCATATTCTTATTTGTTTATTTCTCTCTTTATACAAATACCCTAATAATCTCTAAACTCCTGAATTAAACTCTAGCCCGCTAGATTAATAACAGAGAATTAAAACGACTTAAATATATAACAAAATAAAAAAGTTACATAATAACAGAACTAAATTAATTCTAGCCAGCTCTAATTAACTAGCTACATATATATAAGGTTGGTGAAGGTTATTTTCTTTCCCACCTCTACAATATAATCAATTAGCTAGCCCTTTCAACATGGAATAATTATAAAAATATTTTATACATTGATTTGAATTTATACGACGAAATATCATTTGATTTTAAATTTTTTAAAAATTTGTAAACTTGATTTATACATCAAATTTTTTTAATTCAACGATTGTATGATGTAGAACATGAATTATTGATTGAAGTAAGTCTATAAAGTCTCCTTAAATAGAGAGGATCTATTTACTTTAAGAATAAGTCTTGATAGACTTACTCTATTCAACAATTTATGTTTTGTATCAAATTTTAACAATTCAATTAAAATTTCTTAATGCATAAATTGTTATATATATATGTGTGTGTGTGTGTCTTCAAGAGTAACTTTTGATAGACTTATTTCACTCAATAACTCATGTTTTATGTAACGACCCGGCTGGTCACTACACACTACACAGTACACCTGAAAACCGGACAGAAAGGAACAAGTGTATACATATAGTGTCTAGAATATACATATATACATGGTCCAAGTCTGACTAGATTAAAAATTAAAAAAATAAACCCAAAGTTATTACACCAAGTAGCTGAAACAACAAAACATCAACAAGGATCAACTCCGCCTGCCAGCTGCAAACTCACCACTAGCCACCAACGTATCCCTGCTCTGCTCCCATACATAGTATGATCATCGTAGTCCAAACCACATGGAAACAACAAAGGGTAAGCTAGTGAAAAGAAACAACATACATATATAAAATGAATGATAAACAGTTATCAGCACATCAACCAGCTTAACAACATCAACCTATAATGTATCACAACACACATCTCACATCATTCAGCAATATCAGCAGTAAACAGCAATAACACACAATGCGTCGTCACACATATTAGTTAGTATTGGTCGCTTGTAATCGGTATAGCTCGACATGGCCCCTATACCGTGGTCGCTTTGTACACGTGTGCCTCGACCTTGCCCACACACGGGACCACTAAGACTTAGAGGAGAAAAGCAAGTTATCACTCCAAGGGTCAGCTTTCCAGGGAGGGTTTTCAACAAATTGGGCTCGCAGAGCACCACAACCACTGCATCCACACAATGGGATGAGGTAAATTTCGAAAACAACTCATCTAGTCTTAGTGATCAACAACTCAGCCTTACGGCCTACAACAACTCAGCCATTACGGCCTACAACAACTCAGCCATTACGGCCTACAGCAACTCAGCCATTACGGCCTACAGCAACTCAGCCATTTCGGCCTACAGCAACTTAGCCATTACGGCCTACAGCAACTCACACTAGTACAAAAGAGGTGTACTACGTCGGACATTTTCAGCTTTTTACATCAAAAAACATACCGACGTAGAAGCGAGAGACGTAAATTTTACGTTGGATGTGCAAAACTGATGTAAATTTACGTCGGACATTATGACATCCGACGTAAAAAAGTAGGAAAAAAAATAAAATAAAAAAAACATAAAAATGCAAGCAGAACGGCCCGTTCTCCAAGCAGAACAGGCCGTTCTGCTTGGAAAACGGGTCGTTCTACTTGCAGAACAGGTCGTTCTGCTTGCAGAACAAGCCATTCAGCTTCGTATAACAACCCAAAAGAAAACGCCCACTACCTATACAAATAGAACAACCAAAAAATCAAATAAAACAGATAGCCAGAGTAGCAATGCGAAGTAGAAAAGTGCTAACGAAACCTTGATTCATACCTGAGGAGCAGCAACAATGTGCAAATGAGTAACAAAGAGTTCATCCCTCTGCAAAAGACAAAAAAATGATTCAGTAACAAAGGAGAGGGAGAGGGTTTAGAGAGAAAAAAATGAAAAGTGATGAAGAGTGAATGCGCGCGGTGTGCCTCGCGCTCTCTTATTCAAATTTGCGTCCTTTTTTACGTCGGACCTGGTAGGGTCCGACGTAAAAAGTCCAATCTACGTCGGACACAACACACCTCCGACGTAAATTGGACTTTTTACGTCATACCCTACCAGGTCCGACGTAAAAAAGTTCGCAAAAATTACAAAAATGCCACCACGTTTTTTTTATGTCGGATTTTCATTTTTCTGACGTAAAAGGGGTGACGTAATATGCTAATTTTCCACTAGTGTCAGCCATTATGGCCTACAAAAATTTATATCAACATTCAACACAACACAACTTTTACAACTCAACATATCAACTTGCAACACAACACAACTGTACAACTCAACATCAACTTGCAACACAACACAACTATACAACTCAACATCAACTTGCAACACAACACAACTTTACAACTCAACATCAACTTGCAACACAACACAACTTTACAACTCAACATCAACTTGCAACACAACACAACTATACAACTCAACATCAATCAACCAACATCATCTACTAGTCATCACATTATATTCATCCATTTCAACTCAACTCAGCATAAAACAACATAAATCAGTACATACTCATTTCTCATCTCCGCGCCCGGCGCACTCGTAGTTGCGCCCAGCGTAGTGCAACCCGAGAGCACCAGGGGGCCAGCGCGCCCAGCGCAAGCATGCTCGCGCCCGGCGGGACTCAGCCAGAGAGCCCAAGGCTCACACGCGCCTGGCGCAATACCAATTGCGCCCAGCGCCCACAAGGCAGAGAGACTCCCAAGGAGTCTCACGCCCAGCGCGACAAGGGCCGCGCTCAGCGCAACACATCAATATCAGCATCCAGCGCAGCTAGGTAGTCTACAACACAGCTTACTACTCACAACTCAGCTCAACAATCTATAGTACAACAATATTTTAATTCAACACACAGTATATTCTACACATAATACGACTCATCCACCTTGTTTAAAAGTCATCTACCTTGTCAAATTACCCACCCAAGCAACACCAATCAACCTAAGCACCTAAAACAACTTTCAACTTAACCAAATCACTAAATGTGAAATGGCAACCTTCACAAAAAAACAGCGCATCAGGAGTTATACTACTTTTATCATACTCATCCTTATCTCATATGAAAGATAAGAAGATTTCCTACAACTCTCATGAAGACACCAAGTCCTAACTCCTTCATCTACCATATTAAAAATGCTAAAAACCGCAACAGCTATAAATAACGCTAGCAACTCGACCCCTCTTCACTAAAACAGCCATATCTATAGTTCTAAAACTCCTTTTTGAGTGATTCTAGGGCAATGGTAAAGCTAACCTCCAAGGTTACAACTTTCATGAAGACTATAAAGTCAAATTCTGAAAATTAAATTCACGCCCGGCGCATTAAAATAGAGCCCGGCGCAATTCTCAACCAGAGACCTTCATAGGTCTATTGAGCCGGGCGTGGTTCTTCCCACGCCCGGCGCGATTCACCCAGGGATTCCCATATCAAATCGCTCCTGGCGCGAGGAACTGCGCCCGGCGCAAATTCAAACAGGAACCCTCAAACTTTCAAAATTTTCTTCAAAACCTGCGAAAAACACCATAAAACTAACATGCAAACCATCCAAAAGTTTACATTTCCGTCAAACAGCAATAAAAGCACCTCATTTACAACATGCAACCTCAAATCAATGAAATCCCAAATTTTTCACCCAAGCCTCGAAACCCCGGAAAAATCCATTTTTCATCAATCTCATCCAAAATCATCCATCATCAAACAACAATGAGCTTCTAGAACTCATCTTCAGCCAACAATCTATAAAAAAAACTAGCTTCCCTTACCTCGGTGAAGAGAAATCCAAGCTCCGGGAAGAAGAACGGAGAAGAGAAAGAGAACTCGCACACGACTGGCTCCGAATGGCTTTCAAGTTGGAGAAATTGCACCTCCTAGATCACTCACGGCTTCAGCTTGAAGAAGAGAAAAGGAATTTCAAAATCAGCAGGGTTTGTGAGGAGAAGAGAGAATTTGAGTGAATAGGAAAATGAAAGAGAGTTGAGAGCGGAGGAAGGAAAAAGAAAGAAGAGGATCTCACATTTTACATCAAATTTTGATAATCCAAATGTTGAATTAAAAGTTATTAATGTACATATCAAGTCTACAAATTTAAAAATAAAAATAAAAATTATATGATACTGCATTATATAAATTCAAATAAAAGTATAAAACACATTTATGATTATCCATCAATTTAAATTAATGAAACGAAGTATTAAATAATTTTCAAAAATTTTAAAAAATTGTAGACTTGATTAATGCATTAAGAACTTTTTCACACACACATATACACACACACACACATATATATATATAGAGAGAGGAGGGGGGGAGGAAGGATCCCTTCATAATATAACAACTCCACAACATAACAATTATGTGTCGTCACATGTTTCAATTGAAAGATCTCTTATAACATAGATGAGATATTCAAGTGACTTGATCTTACCGAATCACATTTAATTCCTAAAAAGAAAATCAAGTCAACAACATTTGACATACCAATGCCAAGTCAACACAACAGATGTCTTACCAATGCTTAAAACAATTGCACTAATTTCTCGAATTTCGCCACTTAAACTAGAAAAATTCAATGTCATTGTCAAGAGCAGAATAACTTGGATGTAGGCCTACTATGACATGAGTAATTTAGTATGCATCAACTATATTTATATAAAATTAACTTACTGACTACCCTCCAAATATTGTGCTCTTTTTCAATAATCAATTAAGGATTTTACACCTTAACTTCATATCTTACGCTAATTGGCCGCTTCTAAACCGATATAGTTTGACCTGACCCTTACACAATATCAATTGAGGATTTAGAGGAGACTCAACACTCCACTTTAAGAGATAAATATACTCATGAAAAGATTTTCAACATTTGGACTTTTTGAACACCACAATACATATTCACACAATGAGATATCTAAACATTTAAAAACAACATCTCTCATTTAACAACACATATCAACACAATATGCCTTGTTCATATCATAAGACAATTCAACATAATGTGTCTTATGCATCTCACAACACAACTCAACATAACACGCCCCATGTACATCACCACACAATATTGCACGATAACATACTTCTCATGCATCTTCAACACAACACATAATAACATATT